AGAAAATTTCTATTCCAAATTGATTTCAGTTTATAAATCAGATTTCAGTTTATATGTAGATCAGTTCTTCTTTAGACTTTATGTCTTAAACCTGGTTCTAACCTCAAAATAAAGGTTAAAAGTTTTCTCTCTCTCCCTCTCTCTCTCGGTCTTTCTTTCTTGCTAAACCTCTTTCGAACCCTTTTTTTAACTTAATGCTTGATTTTAACAAAAAAAAAAACATTGTTATAGTTATTTATAAAATTATTAAAATAAAAAATTAATATTTAAAGATATTTTACAGTTTTGTTTTTCTTTTTTTGAAAATATTTTCTAAAAATAATTTTTTTTTAATTTATATATATTTTTGCTTAAATGCAAGCTTAGACTTGCTATTGTTTTAATATTTTTATTTCAATAGGCTTTAAAACCCATTAAATTTTGTGGACTTAAAAACTAGAAAGAAAAAATTCCTTTCAGATTTCTTAATTTAATTTAATATTATTATAAATTTAACGAAAAAAAAAAATTAAAAATTTTTATTTATAATAATAAGTATATAATTGTTTTAATTTACAAAACCAAAAAATGCTTAAAATTTATTTTTTTTTATTGGTAAAAAAAAAACTTTAAACCTTTTTGGAAAAATAATTTAAATTAAATAATATTTTTAGCTTTTTTTACAAGAATTTCTAAATATATATATATTTATAGGTTTAGTTTAAAAGAAGTATTTAAATTTTGTTTTTATAATTAATATGCTTAAATGTTTAATAAACATTATACAGGAATTATTTAAAATATTTTATTTATATTTTATCTTTATATATATATAATTAATTTATAATTTTGTTGTTTATTTCCAAGTAGTTTAGGTAAAAAAAACTTAATTTTTTTTATAAGTATTTTATTTTTCTTTTGTGTTTTTTTTTTGTCATAATAATATTATTTTTTATTTTTTTATATGTAAAAATAATTTTGCTTTATTAATGTCTTTCATTTACTAAAAATTATTAAGACTTTTTTTGTAATATTTATTTCGTTTAAATGATTTTTAGGTTTTTCTTTAACTGAAATATATTTTTTTAAATTTCAGTTTGTTTTTCGCTTAAAATTAAGTTTTTTGTTTTACAGAGATTTTATTTTAAATGAGCTTTGTATTTTTTTTATACAAAAGAAATCAAGTGTCATGTTTTTTATTAAAAAAAATAAATTTTGGAATTTCTGTTTTTTTATATTTATTATTTTTTTATATTTTGTAAAACAAAAATCATTTTAAATCTTTACTAAATTCTAAAAAAATTATTAAATGGAAAGAATTAACATTTATTTTCAAGTAATTAAATTTTTTTTTAATTATATGCTCACGGTTAAGTTTATTATTTTTAATTTTTATATAAAAAAATTTATTTTTATTATTAAAAAATATGTATATTAAAATTTATATGTTTTTTTTTATTTCAAATTTCTTATAAATAAATGAATTACAATCAGTTCTCCTTAAAAAAACACAAAAAAATTGCTAAAATTTAACACCTCAATTTATTTATTTTTTTTTATTAGAAAAAAAATTACAGATATAGTTTTTTTTATTGCTGTTAATGTGGCTATGGTTTTAGTTAAATTTATTTTTAAGAAATATCATTTAAGTCTATAGTTTGTTTTTTGTTTTATACCTTAATAAGATAAACTTTTAAAATTGTTTACATTTAATATATATATTAAGAAAAATATTTTAATTGAAATAAAAAAAACATTAAAGTTTTAAATAGAAATTATTAAAATATTTAAATTTAAACTTAAATACATATATAAAAATGGTTTTAAAAGAAATACAGGGTTTGGCAAAAAATACCTTTAAACATTTATAGACTTTTCTTAAAAAAAAAAAAAAAAAATAATAAAATTCTTTACTTAAAACACTAAAAGGAAATATTAAATAAAATTAAATAGTTTTATCGCCATCAGGGTTTGGAAATAATAACTGCTTTGAAATAACACATCTTTTCCAAAAATTAAGTTTAAAAAAATAATTTTTTTAACATTTTTTAAATCAATATTTAAACCCTTTTTAACAGTGATAATAAACCTAACCTCAAACATAATTTAAGAATTCCAACTTATCTTTAAGATTAACACTGTGCCAATTTCACATACAAAATTTTTTCCAAAATACTTTTATGTTTCAATATAATTTCAAAATTAAAGTACAAAACTAACCTCAAATTTTGTTTAACAATTATTAAATTTGCAACAAAATCTAAATATCCAATATATCTGTTCAGATTTTCTTGAATTTTTAAACTAAAATTGAAAATTTCCAACCAATTTTAAATGTAAAAGTAGTCGCATAATCAAATTTTGTTTCAAAATGTTTTAAATTATAACAATTTTTAAACAAATCGGACCAAAATAATTGTTTGAACTCAAAACTTTAGAAATATTGAAATTTAATTTTGAAATCTTAAATTTAAAACGAATTTTTAAACTGAAAAAAAAATTTAAACAATTTTATAAAAAAACTGAGTCTTAAGATCGAATTTTATTAAAAAAAGCTTTAAACTAAATGAATTTTATAATTTTCTAAACAAATCGGACAAAAATAATTCTTTGAACTCAAATTTTGAAATATTTGTTAAACAACGAATTTTTAAACTGAAAATAAAAATTTCACACAATTTTATAAAAAAACTAAGTCCTTAGATGGAATTTTATTTAAAAAAGTTTTAAATTATAACAATTTTAAAATTTTCTAAATAAATCGGACAAAAATAATTGTTTGAATTCAAAACTTTAAAAATATTGAAATTTAATTTTGAAATCTTAAATTTAAAACGAATTTTTAAACTGAAAACAAAAAAATTCAAAAAATTTTATAAGAAAACAGAGTCCTAAGATCGAATTTTATTTGAAATTGCGACAATTTTAAAAATTTCTAAATAAATCGGTTATAAATAATTGTTTTAATTCAAAACTTAAGACAATTTGAGGTTAAACTTTAAAATCTTTGCTTCTCAACTAATTTTCAAACTGAAAACTTAAATTTTCAAAGTCGAAACGATCCAGGGCTGTCAGTTTGTTTAAAAATGTTTTAAATTGCAAAATTTTAAAATATTTTCAATAAATTTAAATTCAAAATTTTGACGTTACATTTTTAAATTTATGTTTCACAACAAATTTTCAAACTGAAAACTAAAATTTCCTTAAATTTTAAAAGCAGAAATTGTAAAATTTCAAAATATTTTTAATAAATCTGATCAACATAACGGATTTAATTCAAAATTTTGAGGTTTAATTTTAAAATCTTTATTTTAGAAAGAATTTTAGAACTAAAAACTAAAATTTTCATAAATTTTAAAAGCTGAAAAAATCCAGGGCTTTAGTAATGCTTAAAATTCTTTAAAACTGCAAAATTTGCAAACCATTTTAAAAAATCTGAACAAAACTAATGATTTAATGCAAAATTTTAAAATTAAATTTTGACAACTCTATTTAAGAAGGAATTTTTTTAAAGGCCGCAAGAATCCTGACTTCAGATTTTGTTTTAAATTCCAATAATTTTAGAAATTTCTTCTTCAAATCGTTTTTTTTTTAAATTCCAAACTTTTAAAATTTTGAGTTTAAATTTTAAAATCTTTAATTTTAGAAAGAAATTTTGAACTTAAAACACAAATTTCCATAAATTTTAAATGCAAAAAGAAACAGGGCTTTAATTTTGTTTCAAAAGGTTTTAAATTAGAAATTTTGAAATAAATTTATGCAAAATATTGATTTCAATTCAAAACTCAAGAATTTTTGTGTCCAAATTTGGAAATTTTTAGTTTAAAATCAAAAATTTTAAAAGCAAAAAGAATTCTGAGAACAAATTTATTTCAAAACTGTAAAAAGTCTAGAAATTTTGAAATAAATTGACACAAAATATTTGTGGAAATTCAAATTTTACTAAAATTTGAGGTTAGAATTTCAAAATCTTAATTTTTTTTGAACTAAAAACTAAAATTTTAGTTTATTTCAAAGGAAAACTTAATCCTGGTATCAAATTTTGTTTAAACTATAACAAAACTCAAAATTTTGAAATAATTCACAGAAAAATGATTCAAAACTTAACAAATTTTGAGGTTAACTATTGAAATCTTAATTTAAGAAGGAATTTCTAGAAGAAAACAAAAAAAAAAATTGAAATCTAAAGAAATCGGATCAAAAATTTTGTTAAAATTCAAAACTTATGAAAATTTGAGGTTAAATTTTTGAGTTAAAATTTTGAAAACTGTTTGAATTTCTTTAAATTTGAAAGTGAATATCTTTTAAACTAAAGAAAAGTTAGATCAAAATTTAAAGAAAATATTAGAGCCGGTTTTAGAATTCATTTGAAGGAAAGACAATTCAACAAAGTTTTGAAAATTTTATATAATTTTCAAAACTTTAGTATAATTTTCTAACTTAAAGGAGTAAAGTAAAACGCTAAACTTAAAATTTTGTTTAAATTGATGTCAATTTGAAAAATTTTCGATTTTCTGATTTCTAATTTCAAAAATTATAGCTGGAATAAAACCCTGATATTGTTTAAATAAATTTTTTAATAACATTAAAGTAATTAAAGAGGTAAAAGTTTAAATTCGAATGAAATTCTTTTCAAAACTATTCAAAACTTTTGCTATATTTTTCAAATTCCAGCAGATATTTGTTTGCTTAAACAAATATAAATTTCTAACAATTTTCTTTTAGGAGTTTTTTTTTTGTTTGTTTATAAACTAATTTTAAACATTTTAAAGAAAATACTGCAAAATGTGTATTTAAAATAAAAAAAAATTTAGTTTAAAAAAATTCGTAAACGACTAGAAAATGTTGAAAAAAAAGTAGAAGAAAACTGAAAGAAGCCATAAAATATAGAAAAATGACAAAGAAAAATATGAAAAAAAAACCTACCAAACCCTGTACCTAATGGTAAGAATATTAAGGGACTAACAAGACCTACTAAGTCTGCAAAAGTGTAAAGGCTAAGGGATGTGGTATTATAAGAGGGGGGGGAGGGGTTTGGGTCACATTTATATTACTATTACTGTATTATTTATTTAATTCTATTAATTATTAAACTAAAACTATATCTGCTGTAGTAAAGTATGGTTGGTGTGATCTCGTTCATTGGGCGTTAGCAAGTAAAGACAATAATTCTTCACTTAGGGGGTTTTTTTCATGCACTTGATCGAGAGTAAATCAACTTAATTGAGGTGTTACATTAATATAAAAATCTTTACCTATTAAGAGTAGAGAAGGCTCAGAACCATCGTAGGGATAGAAATAAGCAAATTCGCCTGTAAGTTTCTGCTTGTCCTTGGCCTGTACTAGAACTGGGGGTAATTCTTCGATGTTGCCTTCAAGATGAAATTCATGCTGTTCATGGGTTAGTATTAGATCACCCGCCATGGTGGGTATGGTCGGTTGGGTATCCTCTGCTAAATCGTCGTGTAGACAGCATGATGTTGCTGTTGGTGTTGTTGTTGTTGTGGGGGAAGATTTTAAATTATTTATGGAAGTTTTAAGGTTGAAGGGGGATGTGTTGTTGTTGGTGTTGGCGGCATTTGCGGCTTCTGTAGTGGAATTAATGAGTGATGTAATGATGTTGTTGCTTTTGTTGCTTGTGCTGGAAAAGGGTATAATGGAATCTATAATAAACTTGGCCGGAGCTACTGTTGATGTTGTTGTTGGTGTTGTGGTTGTTAAAATTATATCTGCTGCTGTTGCTGCCTTCGTATATGCTGTTGCTGTTGTATTTGTTGTGGTCGTTGTGGGTGAGACACTTAATCACGTACTCAGCCATGTCGAATTGCAGGTGCAAATTGTTGTGGGAATCACAGGTGCATAGTAGACGCCATTGGCGAAAATCAAACCCGGAGGACCGGCTTGTATTTGTATTGTTTGTGGTGCCGTTGAGGCCTGAGCCGTTTGAGGAACCGTTTGCTGTTGTTGCTGCTGTTGTGATTGTTGGGTTTGCGGCTGTTGCTGCTGTTGCTGGGTCTGATCAGCTGGGTTTGTGGCTGGCATGGCACAGCAAATGGTGGCTGTTTGTGGCGGCGTTTGTGGAACCTGTTGTAAGTAGATGGTGTGTGTATTGTGAGGTTGTTGCTGCTGCTGTTGCTGCTGCTGCGGTGTTTGACACGGCGTTGTATTCACCATAGTCATAGTGGTTGTATGTTGCTCAACCAAATGTTGATGTTGCTGCTGATACTGTTGCTGTTGGTGTTGTTGCTGCTGTTGATGATGATGCTGTTGCTGCTGTTGTTGATGCTGCTGCTGATGATGATGTTGTTGCTGCTGCTGCTGCTGTTCATGAACCTGCTTTTGCTGCTCCTTGTACAGCACCTGTGCGGCCAACGATTGTATCAACAGCAATGTCTGCCGTCTCTCGTGACCCATCAGGCATACTGTTGAATTCTCCACCACCTCACGTAAATGCATCAGGTACTGGTACTGCAAGGGCTCCTCGTCGACACCCCAGAAGTGATTTCTTAAATAGGCCTCCAATTTCACAGTCTGGGTATTGATGTCTGGAAAATCGATAAAGAAACGCGAGCACATGTAGCGCTCCAACGTTTTGATGCGCTGATTGTCGACTGGCTTGTAGTTGCGCACCAGCAAATTGCAATACTTGAGCAGACCACCGCCTCGTATCTCTTCGGGTTGCCGCGTTGAGATCAGTTTCTTTTCCAAGTGATACAAGGCCTCTTGGAAGTCGCCGTAGACGGACTCGCCCACGACGGTGGGATAGAAGTTCTCCGATATTGGCAAGGCTGCACAGTCGTAGAAGAGCAGCAACGAGTCGAGAACAATTTGGAAGGAATCGACGGAAAACTCGAATTGCCGCCGCATAGTATCGACGAATTTCAGTTCGACATTTTTGTGACCGGGCGAATTGCCCAATGATATTAGCGACCAGCGATCGCCATCGTTATTATTATTCACCTTAACCATTTTGCCAACGTATGCCTCCTTGAGCGCACACGGCATGATGCGACGCTTGGAGACACCCTCGGGCAATAGGTCGAGCAATGTGTTCAGTACCGCTGTTTTGACACGATCAAAGTGACGTGGTGAGCTCAGCTCAATGGCATAAATTAAATCCAGATCATTATAAGGCTGATCCTCTGAAGCCAATACATGACTAGCTGCTCCGCCGTTCAAGCGTATATCCTTGACTATCACACCGGCACCACCGGAACCCACATCCGCCTCCAATTTGCGCCTCACCAAATTCACCAAGTCTTTTAGCGTTACCTCCAATGTGGGAAAATTACCGCGTCCATGTATGGCCACCTTCTCGTCCATGACATTGTGTAGTTTGCGTACCTGTTCGAATGACAGTACAGCCAAACGTTGTGTACCACCCGTATCGACGCTCTCCAGCGAGCCATGATCTGATGTGGAGGCTATCGATGAGCCGGAACTGGGTGATGGTGGTGGGGTTTCGGTGCCACCGTCTGAATGAAAACCATCGTCAATTTGATAAACGTCCATTCTGTTGGATCTTTGTGTGTGATATGACGAATCGGGTGCGTCTAGTGTCCCGCACTGTAAAGAAAGGAAAAGTTAGAAAAAGTTTAGTAAATTATTTTATTTTTAATTAATCTTATTCTATAAAGTAATTAGGTATTTATTTGTTTTATAAATCTTTTTTTTTTTTTTGTTGTATAAAGTTTAAATATTTTTTTAGGTTATTTTCACGTAAATTTATATTTTGGTTTTTAATTTACTGCCCACTATTAATTTATATTTATTTAATTTTTTTTTCTTTCAAAACTTTTCTGTGAATTGTGGGTGTTATTAAGAAAAATTACTACACTTTTGTTTTTGTTGTTATAAATTTGTTGTACAATAAAAATTAAAAGTTTTTGTTTTTAGAGAAGAAATCCATTTCTAGACAAATTTGTTCAATACTTTGAACAAATCAACCAACCACAACAAGAGACGCTAAATTTTTAATGACAAAAAAAAACAAAATCGAAATTAAAAGGAAATTGTAGACCATAAAATAACAACAACAACAACAAAAAAAAAAACAAATCTAAAATACTACAAAAATATTTAACAATTGACAAGACATTAGAAAAATAACAAGACTAAAATTGAAAAAAATAGAAATAAAAGAAAACATTACCAAAAAAAAGCATAAAAATTCTAGAAATGAAATATAAACGATTTATAGCGTGGTAAATAATTATAAGGTTTTTCTTTTTAAATTAAAAAGAGAAATAAAACAAACACAAGATTTAACTTAGATTTGTCTTAGTAGTTTTCATTTAATTTCATTTTTGTAAAGTTTTGCTTTATAACTATGATCATCACTGTTTAATTATTTTAAAGTATGTTAAACTTGGTTATTTCAACACATTTCTACTTATAAATCAATTGAACATTAAATTTTTTTTTTTGTGGAAAAAAAGTAATAATTAAATTTCACATATAAATAGGGAGCGTTACGTCTATGACTAGTCTTTAAGACTCTACTTTATGTTAGAATAGTTTAGAAAATTAATTATTTTTTTACTTAAGCTCAAAAATATGAACATTTACACTTTTCATACAAGGTCTTAGCAATAGCTTTCATTTGATATACATATTGTCTAAGTGAAAAACTAGTTAATGGAAATATATCTTTAATCTTTTCGCAAATTGTTCATTACGAAAAATAACGCATTCGGTATCGGTTATATATTAAGTATAAAGATTAAAACGAAATAAACTATGGACTAAACTGTAGTCCGGACTGTTTAATGATCTAATCTATGGACTAGTCTATGAAATAGCCTACGGATTAGTTTATAGGCTAGTCAATTGATTAGTCTCATCGTCTAGATTTTTGATAGGTTTATGGTCTTTTGATTACTCTATGAAGTAATAAACTATTGATAAGTCTATGGACTAGTCTATTGTTTAGTTCATGGACTAGCCTCTTGATTAGTCTATTGGTTAGTATAGTCTCTTGATGAGTCTATGTACTAGTCTCTTTATGGACTAGTATATTGGTTAGTCTATGAACTAGTCTATTAACTCGTATATTGATTAGTCTATGTAGTAGTCTATTGGTATATGGATCAGTTTATTTAGTAGTCAAAGGACTAGTCTATTTAGTAGTCTGTGGACTAGTCTATTGATTAGTCTGTGGACTAGTCTATTGGTTAGTCTATGGACTAGTCTTTTGATTAGTCTGTCTATTTACTGATTAGTATATGGACCAGTCTATTGATTAGTCTATGGTCAAGTATATTGATTAGTCTACATATTAGTCTATTGATTAGTCTATGAACTAGTCAATTGATTAGTTTATAGTATATTGATTATTCTATAGATTAGTCTATTGATCAGCCATGTCAATAGTCATAGACTAGTCTTTTTGATTAGTCTATGGACTGGCCCACGGACTAGTCAATGGTTTATACCATTGATTAGTCTAAGGACTAGTCTATTGGTTAATCTATGGTCCAGTCTATTTATTACTTTGTGGACGGGTCTATTGGTAAGTCTATGGACTACTGTACTGATTAGTATACGGATGAATCTATTGATTATTCTATGGACTAGTCTGTTGATTAGTCATATATTAATCTATTGATTAGTCATAGACTAGTTTATTGACTATTGATCAGTCTATGATTGATTAGTCTATGGATTAGTCTATGGGTAGTCTATTGATTAGTATATAGTCCACACTATAGACTAGACTCTAAACTAGAGCATGTACTAGAATATACACTAGACTATATACTAGACTATAGACTAGGCTATAGACTAGATTATAGACTAGACTATAGACCAGACTATAGACCAGACTATAGACGAGACTATAGACTAGACTATAGATTAGACTATAGACTAGACTAGAATATAGTAGTCTATTGATTAGTATATGTACCATTCCATTGGTTAGTCTATTGATTAGTCTAAGGACTAGTCTTTTGATTAGTCTATGCACTAAGCTATTGATTAGTCGATGGACTAGTCTATTGATTAGTCTATAGACTAGTCTATTGATTAGTTTTCATTCATGACTAATCAATAGAGTAGTCCATGTCTATTGATTAGTCATGAATTAGTCTTTTGATTAGCCCTATATACTAGTCTATGGACTAGACTATTGATTAGTCTATGGGCCAGTCTATTAATTAGTTTATGGACTGGACTATTCGTAAGTCTATGGACTTGTCTATTGATTATTCTATCGAACAGTTTATTGATTTGATTATAGATTAGTATATGGACTAAACTATAGATCAGTCCATGGACTAGTCTATTGAGTAATCTATTGATTAGTCTATAGCCTAGCCTTTTGGTCTATGGACCAGTCTAGTCTATAGAACAGTCTATTGGTGAGTTCATGGACTAGTCTATGGACCAGTCTACTGATCAGTCTATAGACTAGTCTATTGATTGGTCTAAGCGCTAGTCTATTATTTAGTCTATGGACTAGTCTATTGATTAACTATACATTAGTCTATAGACTAATCATGGACTAGTCTATTGATTAGTCATGAACTAGTCTAATGATTAGTCGTGGACTAGTCTTTTGATTAGTCTATGAACTGCCCTATAGACTAGACTATTGCTTAGTCTATGAAATAGTCTATTGATTGGTCTAAGGACTAGTCTATTGATTAGTCTATGGACGAGTCTATTGATTAGTCTGTCGACCAGTTTATTAATTAGTCTATAGATTTGTATATGGACTAGTGTATTGATTAATCTATGGACTAGTCTATTGATTAGTATATGGACTAAGATAGTCTATTAATAAGTCTATGTACTACTCCGTGGACTAATCTATTACCGGAAAAGTAAAGAAAACACGTCATGGGAATAACTTACTAAACCTTAAGCTTTATATCACCATGTCTTTCTCACCTGTTGGGTTAGATATGGTCAACTTAGAAACCAAAGTATAAAGTGGAAATGTTTTTAGTTAATATAAATTTTCTAATTTGAAATTTCCCATTTTAAATATTAAAACTAAAAAAAAACGAACTAACCTTTTACCCTGCACCAACAACAAACACCCTTATAATTTAAAAATAAAATAAATATTTAAAAAAAATAAAGAATGTTTCAAAATTTCATTAAAAATATGCGTTTGAAAACACACAATAAAATACAAAGGTTGTTTGTTTACAAAAATTTTATTTTCAAAATTTTTTCATACTTTGTCACCAAATTTTGTCTAACAGACGGTTAATTATTTGTTTAATAATTTTTGTTTGTTAATAAAACACGTATTTAAAAAAAAAGCCAAATTGAATAGAGTTATAGAAAATAAAGTATGTGCGTGCGTGTCTGTCTGTCTAACCATCCATTCATCTGTCTGTCTGTCTGTCTTTTTCTATATGACTGAGTAACACTTTTTATTATAAATGTCATTATTTCATCATTAATTTGTTGTTTCTTTTGTAACAATATATTGTTGTTGTTTTCAGTTTTATTTTTTTTTTTCTGAAAATATTTTTACAAAAATATTTTTGGTATTTTGTTTTTCACTTAATTTTCTTTAACAAAAAAAAAGCAAAAATTATAAACAAAATTAAGCAAAAGAATTAACAAATTATGTGTTTTATAATGTTTTTGTGTTTAGTAATTATTTAGTGGTGTCTTTTGTTAATTTGTTTTTGTTGTATTTTGTGTGTGTTTTGCCATTTTAATTTATTCATCATATCTAGTCATTGTTAGTTGGCAAAATTAAAACGCATATTTTTTAGCCAGAAATTTATTCAAAGTACCCTACAATAAGCATACTTAAGGCTATAGAACATATACACAGTCTAGAAGAATATAACTAAAATAATAGTTTTATTAAGAAAAATTTTAGACAAAATATTGTTTCTTTATTTCTTAACTTTACTCTTTATTTGATAATGTTTAAGTTTAAAAAGCGACCTTTGACCTTTCAATATTTTTTTTAATAAAACATTAAATCAATAACTATGTTTAACCAGAAAACTATTCAAATAATTTAAACACTGTTAGTTAACCTTACAAACTCATCGTTTAAACAACAAAAGTTAAACTGCCGTTATTTTTAAACAAGGTTTAAATAAACCTTAAATTACTTCAAAATTTCTATGAAATTAAACCATTGTTTTAAACCTCCACTAAAAATTGCTTAATTAAACTTAAGTAATTATCCTTAACTATAAATTCATTAAATTACATTTAACTTAACTTAATAGTGTGGTTTAGTTAAACTTTAACTACATCAACAATTACTTAACATGGCAAATTAAACAACGTTTAATTTTCAACATATGTGTAGTTAAATAACTTAAGTGGAAATTACTGTGTTAATAATAACAAAATTAAGGTATAGATAAAGACTTCTATTTAATTATTTTTCAACTAAAACTATTGCTAATTTTTAATTAAATTAAAAGTGTATATTTAGTGCTAAATACCTGCACTGGCTATGTCTTTAATAACAATTTAACGAAGTCATTGTTGTTTTGCAAATTATAATGCTAATTTGAACTGAGGTAAATGTAACTTGATTTAAGTGTTTTATAACTAAGTTATAGTACTCATTTGGGTCT